ATGAAATAATTGCACTTGCCCTAGTAGGCATGATGGTGTTTGGTTTTGTCCTTCCAGTCCCTGTCCTCTCCTTAAACTTCGAAGTAATTCCAATAACTTATGCAAGACCTATATTTCTCTCCGTAAGATGATTTAACTTTCACCTGATTTAAGTAACCAAATAGCCCTCAAAGATACTTAAAGCCTTGCTGTAATTAACATAACTGCATTTAGATGCCATTCATGGCTGATAATTCCAACACCTTGTGGGAAAAAAAGTTGCATGCTGTAAACATTATGAACATATTCAAATAAGCTTAACACAATCTGCCATGCTTCTTCTGCCTAGATCATGGACCAGCGAAATGGTTAATGCAAATGGATTTATAATTTGCTTTGGGGGGCCAGTTTCTTTCCCTTATTTATTAGCCCAGCTGATGGGGCAGATTTGATGAGGCACTTCTGGAATAATTGAGTCATCACACAAAGAAGGCTGCTAGCATTCAGAGTGGTTTTATCAGCAGCAAGCAGGCCTGATTACTGACAATTACACTCTGATCCGGTGATGGAGGAGAAAGAGCCAACGAGTGGGAAATGTCCGTGTTTCTATCCAGGAATAATTTCTACATTCATTTTACATGCTAAGTGTTTCCTATCTCTGCATAATAAACTGTAAACAGGAATAGATGGCACAATGTCCCTTAATATTTCCTGGTAATGAAGACACAAATGTACAGTGAGTGCTGATAAATATAGATGAAACATAAGCTATTCTCCCAGTCTGTATTGTTACCTTTAAAACAAATGCATTTTTGTGGTAAAAGCATAATCATAGCTAATGCAAAAAAATGACAGAAGATTGAAACTGTCCTTGTAACTACATAGAAACTTTGCAAAAGTCCTGTTAATCACTGCGGCTTTAAAGGCTGGCGAGCGGAAGGTGAGATCTTTCTAGAAACCACGTCATTCTGTTTCTCAATAGTCAACTAGGAGCAACTCCTTGGGTTAGACAAAGCAAAGGACGGTGCTGTAGTGACCTCCATTAACACCTCCAAAAGCACATCTCAGTGCTAACCTGGAAAGAACGATGAAACTGGCATAGGAAGACATTGTCTCCAGAACAGTTTTCAATTTCCCTTCCGTCAGGCCTGTCCACAAGAGGTTGATAGTGAATAATGAAGTGAGAGCAAAGACTGTGATCTGCTACAGAGAGCAACGTGTTGCTGCCTTTAGTCTGATGTTTTTAACCGCTTGCTTGGGACACAGTTTACTAACAAAGCTCTTTGAGCAAAAATGCATCTCGTGGAGAGGTCTTGGTAAACTAGTTTTTCCTCTGATTCCCAATCTGGTTGGAAATGCCTACAGGAAGGGAAGGTTCAGATTTCTGAATATGTTACTGTAGATTTCAGTGGGAACACTTTAATTTCCTGTAATATCGAGAGATTTTCTTTCAAAAAAGCCAACCAGGTGTGAAACTCTGCGTAATGAACCTGCCTGGATCTGTTTGTTTAATCTTTTCTCTAAAGCCATGTCCTGGCCTCCAAAGAACTGAAAGTTATTCTCTATCTTCCAACAGTAACTATGGAAACTCTGTTTCATGAAACTAACCACTTAATTTCAAGGCTTGTATTTCCACTAAATGTGTTATTTTGAGTAAATCTATACTAAACAAGCTTATAATATCAAAACACTTCTAATAAAGTTCAAAGAGCACTTGTTGATTCAAAAATGAGGCTTTTCATTGTACAAAGAGAATTTTCTCTTTTTAAGCTATTTTATTATATAGATTGTCATATAATATCCTTGGACGTTTTTCTTCTCCATGTTTAAGAGATTCTTTAGAATTTTCTCAATAAGTTGGCTGTTTTTTCAACAGTAACTGTTTTTCATTAACATCTGTACCACATTCTATAAACATGAATGAAGGTAAAAGAATATAGTCCTTTATCTTCATTATTTGACTGTGAAATATGAAATGAAACTACTGAATTTTACAAAGAGAATAACATGACTCTCAGTTGTTGACGTTAATAGGGTATTAGACCTTTACAGAATGATCCCTGCATTTTATTCTTACTATATAAACTAAAATGTTCAATATAGATTTTTTTTTTGTTCTAGGAATCGAACTCAGAACCTTGTGCTTATCACGCAGGTGCTGTGCCACCGAGCTATCTCCCCAACCGAATACAGATTATTAAAATACGAGTATCTTTCTCCTAAAATGCACAGTTGCTGGGCAGTGGTCTACCTGTTGCCCCAGCTAGAGAGTGGGGACAAAAAGATACAAAAATACAACTCTTGTTTTCCATAGCAAAAATGCTTGTTTTCCACCAGCAGAGAGTTCAAACATCTGGAACACAAGGAGGTAGAAACACACACACTTAGATCAGTCTGGAAGAGCTTCCTGAAGATGACGATCCCTGAAAAGTTGTCTCCGGAGAGATTCAGAAAACTTTGACTAAGATAATAAATATCCCCAAAGGTCAATTAAGAGGACATCAGTATTCAAATTGACTTAAACAATGCACTAAAGCCATACTTTTTATAGTTACAAGAGGATCAAAGAAACTAGAGGGTCAAATTAGATGCCTAAAGTAAATATCTGAAATTTGTTGATTTCATTGGTAACTTTAGCAAGGAAATTCCCCTTCCACCTCAGAAGTGCAAAATCTGCCTCTTGGAATGTGATTTGTCGCTCACACTGTTGTTGACAGTATCTCGTGGGATCCTGTATTCTGACAGCAGTTTGACAGCACATTCATCTTGACTCCCAGGTTCTGCCTGATACTCTATTTTTTTGTACCCATTTTCCTTTCCATAGAAAATGCAGGCTGTGTCATCCTGACTTTTTAGTACAACATAATTCTACATGTATCATAGGCAGTCAACACTCTATTGATTTGAATTGCAATAAACCAAAAGTAATCCTTTTCGGATGCTTGAAATAACAATTTCTTAATTGGATTCTAATACAAAAAGCCCAGGCATTAAGCGTTAAGGATATATAGACTCCACAGGTTTGGTTATTATTCCAGGTTGGGTGAACTAGAAGTTTTTCTTCCCTTATATTGAAAACATGGGTTCTCTTCAGGCAAATAAGAGCAAATGGGAAGTGTGACACATCTTATGGTCAGATTTTCTTCAATGTCTACTTTACCTCACTTATATGAAAAACTATGGCAATTTAAATGATGCTTTTGGAGGAATCTGGAGAGTTGGAAAGAAAACCATCTAGGAAGGCCTCCGATCCACTTCAACTCTACCATTTGTAGCTCTTACTCCTCCATATTCTCACTGAAACTTTGGCAGGATGTCTTGACCACTGCACACCTATATTTTATTTTCAACCAAGTATAGCCATGTACTCCAAACTGATAAATTGTACACTGGGGAGAAAATGGCCCTCACCGTAAGGAAAGATGAAACTAATCCATTCTTTTTATGAAAAGAGTGAAGTGACACAGTATTTTCTAAAGAAATGCAGCTGCCTTTATCGATCTCATGAGGGTATAGCTCTCCCATAAGTACTTTATACACACTCTTTTATTCCTTCATTGAAATATGATTTCACTATTTCTTCATCATTATGGCGTGATGGGAAATATGATCAATTTTACCTCCAAAGGAAGGAAGGAAGGCCTGTCCTGGGTGGAGGTAGAACTAGGGTTCACAGGGCAATGGTCTGCTTTCAAAGTCCAAGTCTGCAGCAGATACCTGGACTTCCAGTCTTTGGTACACTCTTGTGCTCAGTGAAACACACTCACTAGCACAATCCAGAAAACACGCCAACAGTTACACCTCTGAGGCTACAGGCCCTGAGTGGTTTACAAAAATATCATGTGGAGAATTTTGGCAAGGGACAGTGAGAGATCACAAAGTAGAAGAAAGAAATCTCTAAGTTAGCAATCATCATCATTCCGAGCAACAAAACAGCTATTCCAACTCCTACAGACTGTTTACCAATTTTTGTCTCTCAAGAAATTTTTGTCTTCATTCAAACAGGAAATTCTTCCTACTGCCCACTGTAACATAGATCCTATCTATCAGTTAACATATCCTCTTTATTAGTTTTCTGTTGCATCTGTAACACATTTCCGCAAGCTTAGTGGCTTAAGCAGTACAAACTTGCCATCTTGTAGTTCTGGAGGTCTGAGGTCTGGGCTAGTCTCACCAGGTTAAAACCAAGTCAGCCTCCGAGGAAAGCTATCTCCATACTCAATGGAGTTCTTGGCAGAATACAGCTCCTCCCTCCTCTGGGACTGAAGTCCCTGTTTTCTTGCTGAGTATAAATGGAGAGGCAGCTCATCCTCTAGAGCTCTGTGTTCCTTGGCTCAGGGCTCCCTTTCCCTATCTTCAAATTTTGCAACTGTGTGTCAGGTTGAATCCTTAGCTTATCATACCTCCCTGAGTCTTTCTCGTGCCTTTCTCTTTAAGACCATGTGAGTAGTTGCCCCTCCCTGAGCAATTTGGGGTATTCACCCCATCTCAAGAGTTTTTCTTTTGAGACAAGCTCTCACTATAGGGTTAAGGCTGACCTTGTACTCAGTATGTACTCCAGGCTGGTCTTGAACTTGTAGCAGCAATCCTCCTGCCTCAGCCTCTTGAGAATTCTTAATCCAATCTCAGTGACTATTCATAGATATAAAGGATATGGACATGTATGTATCCTATTATCTTTGAGCCCATTATTCTATCTACTATATTTTTTAGTCCCCAGTGTGAATGCTGAATGTTTTAAAGTATTAATGCTCCTCATTATCAGACATGTGACATTATAAATCAAGGTGAGCAGGTTTAAGCACTCCTTAGAATATATATGAATGTAGTCCAAATTGCTACATAGATACCAACATGACTACACTCAAGCATCTTTCCTGGTCCTCTAGAATCAAATTGCTTAGCTTCTCAGGTTTTAAAAAAACATTGAAAAGCCAGATTTTTTAGAAAAAGCAACCAGAGAAAAGATGAAGATTACTACTGATGGGGGGAAAGTTTATTTTTAAATAGTCTTCACTTACCTTCCCTAATAGCTATTGGATTTGAACTGGAGAGTTTCCATTGCTACAGGGTGAAAGCATCAGAGATAAAATGGAAAGAAAAAAAAGAGAAAACTTAATTAAATGGCAATTGTCTACAGCTTATTGACTATATAAAAAATCCTTTCAAACAATTTAAAAACTGACTATCAGAATATGGGTTAGGGTACTACCAATCTTCAATAGTCAGACATAATAATATTTTAAAGAACTCTCACTTAACAAGATAAACAGGTGTCTACTATTCCTAGAAAACCCTTTTTAGATTTGAGTCCCTTTGCATTTAAGTACATTTGAGAACCTTTTCTGGGGACACACCTGAGAGTGAAACTGAATTATCAATGACGGTCTTTAAAAAAAAAAAAAAAGAATCAGTGGTTTAACACTAATTTCTAATCAGATCCTACAGAAAGGAACAGCCCGCACGGCAGCTGTACTTTTCCCAGGGTTAATTACCTTTCACTGCTCTCTACTAATGAGTCAGCTGTTCCTGTCATCGCACACTACACTGGTTCATCTGGAGCTCTAGCTGTGGACAAACACAGGAGTGACAGTCCTATTTACATACGGGGTGGGGAGAGGCTGTACAGAGATTTCAAAAGGATTTCTGTTTTTAAATCCTGTAATGCTCGCGTGTTTCCAGACTAAAAATACTTTTACAAATAAGGTTTTCCTTGGTCAACTATTGCTTTTCTGCCAGATCACGGGGTTTGCCATCAGGAGATGTCAAACGATGCCAAAGCCCTGGAAGGAGACGAACTTCATGACCCCCACAGAGAGCTTTGTCCCACTGACTCCTCAGCACCCTGACAACCCCCTCACAGGGTGGAAGACAGAGAGCTGGGGAAATTTGTGGCTCCCTTTGCTGACACACAGACATCCTTAAAAAAATTCGTAGGATAGAAAATCGAATTCAAAGACAGAAAACAAGGTAAGAGAAAAAGAACCTTGAAATTGCTTTGTTTGTATATGAAGAGTAAAATGGAAAAATTTACCCACCCCAAAATAGGCTTGGACACTATTCTTTTACCTATGTCTAGATCATTGCCAGAATATTTGGCTGTAGATGGTTTACTGCCCAAGTAATACTTTTGCCCAGGCAGCGGCTCTGCTTTCAACCTCAAGATGCAGACACAGTGGGCTCCTCTATAGTCTCAAGTGTTGCAGTAAGAAGTTTCCATGTCTCCCCTTTTATTTCAGCGGAAGCTGAGAGGGACATAGAAATACTCAAGCATCAAGAGTTCTACTGTGACAGCCTCCCAAATGCCTCTGAATAAAGGATACTCTCCCACTGATAAGTTTCTGGTTCTAAATCATAAAATCTTCAGTCATGGCTCTCTTAAGCTGGATATGCCTCAGGTCACTTGGGTGTTTCGTTAACCTGCAGGTACTGAAGCTCGCATTCCAGGTCTGACTTGACATCATGCACTCCGCATAAAGGCCTGGAGAGCTCCTGCTGGTCCATGGCCCACAGTGGTGAGTAGCAAAGCAACAGAGCAGTAGCTTTCAAACCAGAGCCTGCCTTGAAATCACTTGGAGACCTTGTAAAGCCCAGGTACCTGATTCCATGGTCCTGAAGTTCGGCCTGAAAATCTGGGTTTCCTAGAAATTAAACTACTGGTGGTGGCAGTTCAAGGACCACGCTTTAAAATCACGGCCTTAACTGTTCGCTATTAAATACACTGGAGGGCCCTAACTCCCAAAGGCTGAGTACTCTATATGCCCACACACAGACGCACTTTCACTTTATTCTGGAGTTATGCGTTTGCCCTGGCTTTAAGGCTTCGTGGTAGAAAGGAACAGATGAAAAGTGAATGTTGCGGCCCGTCACTGAAGTACATCCTGAGAACCACTTTACAGCTTATTGAACTTGATCTTCCCTTCAGATGAAACCATTCATGGCAAGAAAGAAACAGCAATTATGCACTTCTTCATTACAGGTGCCGTTACTAAACGTACGCTCACAAATTATAAATAGAAGACTTTGCAGAATATCAAAAACTTGCCAAACGCAAGTAAAACGTGGGAACGAATTCATTACAAATTATAAAATAAAAACAAATTTAAATGTCAAGCAACAATGCAAATTTCCTCAAGACAGTCAGTGTTTTACCAGCCCTGGTGAATTTGGGCTTATTTTTTTTAAATGGTACAATGTGTTTCCCATACACATAGATATGCGAAGTGTTCTGTGTTCATTGTTGCTATTCTGAAGAACACATTATTCTGAAAACTTCTTGGAGCATGGAAAAACCTTTTAGTCTAATACTAAAAATACATTTGCATTGATGTTCATGTAAATATCTCAGTGCTAGAGCTCTCAAAAGAGCATTTTGCAGTAGTGTTTGCTGGAATATGTATTTTAGAAAGGAGGGCAGTAATAAAAGAAATTACAGAATAAAACATTTGCTGAGTGTGTTTTAGTTAAAAAAAAAAAAAAAAGAAGAAGAAGAAAAAAAGGTAGTGACTCTCAAAGAGTGAGTTACTCACTGGCCATAAGTTAGGTGCTCTAGCATTGATCTGCTCAGGCCAGGAAAGACTATTTAGTGTCCTGAAACGTGAACTTCTCAGTATTGCAAGAAAACAGAGAGAATAGGGTTCTTCGCATGAATCCCAATGAACATCCTAAAAAAACTGTAATTAATCCATGCACCTTCAGAATGATTTCGTTTTGCTGTCATGTAAATTTATTTTAAAAGTATCAATCTCACCTAAATCAAGAGGATAATGTCACAAATAGAATTTGGTTGATACCAATGTAAGAGACTATTGTTTAATTGATTCTTTCATTTCTTTACTCAAATCTTCATTAGGCCCCTATTCTCTTGGAGAAGAGAAGAATCCAGGCCAACTGGTGTAGCCCTTGGTGAGTAGAGGGGTATACTTAATGTGGAAGACTTTTCTGCCACACAAAGAGGCAATGAAATACTGAAGTACATCCTCTCTTTCTCTCTCTCTCTCTCTCTCTCTCTCTCTCTCTCTCTCTCTCTCTCTCTCTCTCTTTCTCTCTCTCTCTATATATATATGCACACACACACACACACACATTTTTTTGGGTAGTACTGAGGATTAAACCTAGTACCTTTGCACTGAGGTACATCTCAGACCTTCTTAATTTTTTATTTTGAAACAAGGTCTTGCTAAATCATTGAGGTGCCAAGGCTTGGCTTGAATTTGCAGTTCTCCTGCTTCAGCCTCTCAGAGTTCTGGGATTGCACTGATGAGGTGTGAATGCTGAATTTATTTCTTAATGACTTAGGAGAACCATCTGATGTGTTTAATAAAAACAGGCCCCCAAAGTACAAACATCAGGGTATATAGCTGGAGTAAAGGAGAATTTGTAATCCTATGACTACGGAATGGAGATATCTGGGGTCATGAGCTGATCCCGTAAGTGAATGTCAGGACCCTAAGTGATCCTTGTCCATGGGGGGTGTGTCAGAGTTGTCATGAATCCGCCTATGTAAAGCTGGTCATCTGGACATCCGGGTTTATCGCTGTCTCGCGTGAACAATCCAGGGTCAGAACCGTTCACTGCAGTCTATTTGTCCTATGCTTATCCAACTGTAGTCTATTATTTTCGCTGGTTCTCATCTGCCAATGGATCCCGCGTCACAGCGTCTCATTAGCACTGGCAGATTACTGAGGGAACCCGACCTTCTTGGTGTTTTTAAGATAAATCAACTTGAATTAAAATGTGATCTACTTCATTACATATTTACAAATTACTATTGTCCATATTTGTGGGGAACAAAGTGATGCTATGATAAATGTATGCAATGCGGGCTGACTGAATCAGCTAATTAGCATATCCATTACCTCCACTATTTACCGTTTATCTCATCATCACACCCTTCCACCAGCATCTCCCCATTTTCTTCTCCTCTCCCCAGCCTCGAGCAACCCCCGTTCTGCTCTCTGTTCCCCTGTGTTCACACCCTATCTATTTTTAGGTTTTATTACATTTTTCTGAAAAAGCACGTGCAGGAATAAAACACCTTAGAAGAACTACGGGACCCCTGGTTTTAAAGGCCGAATGTGTATTATGTTCTTTCAAAGTGAATGACAAGAGTGCTCATGAAAAGAAGACCTTGCTCAGAGGACGTTGGATGGGTTTTCTTGCATCTTCTTAACTCTGTCTACCCCAGCGTGGGACCTGTTTTCCCATCAGATGCTCCACCTGTCCTATCCCAGCACCTAACGTGCATTCCCACCTCCCACATCCGCTCTAGATTGCAAGATCCTGTGGACAAGAACATGCTTTGTTGCTTCCCTTTCATCTGCAGGAGCTCAGCTACAGAACTGTCTCATTGAACGAGGATCCGGTGACTAATCGTTAAGGAAATTATAACGAGGCCTCCAGCTCAATGATATGCATTTTAGAAAAAAAAAATGGATCAAATACCTGGAGATGAAATATGTAAATGTGGTAAAAAGTGATGTTGGTGAAAACATAGTTTACAATAGTTTACAAAACTAATAAATGCAATGTTTAATGTACATGATACCATATTATTGATGTTATATATGAAAATTAGTGAAGCAAGCAAGGATCTTATGAGACCTCAACTTATAAATTAAGATTCATTTTACAAATGAAGAGAAAACAGATGAGCAGAAAGCACGCGTAACACGGTGATACCTGTAACACACACGACTATTAACTTGGATGCGTAGGGAAGGGATTTGCACGTTTAGTGACTGCAGTTGTCTGATGAGTCATGTGTTAAAATTAGAGGAGTGACTGGCAGAGTAAGAACGCCTTAAAATGAAATTGGGTAGTTCCGAAAATGCAGGAAGTAAAATTAAAAGATAATAGACAAAATGCAGTACTGTTTATTACAGACATAAGTGAACATACCAGGGACTCAGGGCTTTCAAATTAGATCGTGGTGGAAGGGGAAGGAGAAGGCAGTTAGGAGTATGATCGATAGGAGGCAGCAGATGAGAACAAAATCAGATGAGGCTTTCAACCATAGCTGCTGTGAACTATACACCGAGAACTGGCTCAGGCACTGGACTAGG